AATTGAGACCGGACTAATCTACCCTTCCCCACTCTCTGGTCTGGGTCCTGCTCTGTAGCATTTGTCTCTACAGGTACTGGAAGCTTTCCCGAGTTGCAGAGTGAAATTACTGTGATCCCTGTCTGCTTTATGACTGCCCATAGAGTTCTGAAAGGCGGCAGTGAAAACTGACAAGACTTTGCTCTTGGGACTGCTCCACACAGCACAGGCCTTGTAGCTCTTTGTCTGCAGACTAACGAAGATGACACTTAGGCTTGGTCTATGCTAGAAAATTAGGTTGGTTTAACTATGTTGATCAGAGATGTGAAAAATCCACACTCCAACCGGTGTTGTTAAGCCGACTTAAGTCCTCGTGTAGACGTCAATGGAAGAATTCTGCTGTCAACCTACCTACTGCCTCTCGGGGAGGTGGATTACCTACACCAACAGACGAACCCTTCCTATCTGTATAGACAGAGTCTCACGGAAGTGCTACATTAGCGCAGTTGTGTTTTAAGTGTAAACAAGCTCTTAGTTATCCACTGTTGTTCTCTTAGGACTTGCTTTTTCACTAGGAAAAAAGTGTATTTTTAATTGGTGTTAAAATAAGCAGTGTTACAATCCTAGTGAAGACAAGGCAGTTGTAGTTTTAACCCATGTTAGCTGGTTGAAGTAAACTCTAGGAGGGACCTCATTTAGTATGTGTTAAAGGCCTTGTCTACACTAGACTTTTAAAACATGTTAGCTAATGTGCTGACAACACCCCTGACATCCTAGTTTAGGTAAGGCCTTAGACCATCCAGAGATACTATGCAAATGTTTGGTGGCTTCTCTTCTGTTCAGCAAGATCCTTTTGTTACACACATTTAATCACTTTGCCTATTCGCTGTTCAACCAAAGGTGCAAGAGTACTTCTAATATAATGAAGGACATGCATCAGACTAATTTGCTAATGTTAATAGCTGTATGGCTTCTACTTACTATCTGGCATTGTCTTTTCCCAGGTATTTCACTACCTGAGCCTTTCTATTGTAACCCTCTTTTTGGTGGAAGTTGGGTTTAAAATATTTGTCTATCGCCTGGAATTTTTTCACCACAAGTTTGAAGTCCTGGATGGAATAGTGGTGGTGGTTTCGTTTATCATCGATATCGTCCTTCTGTTTCGGGAACATGAATTTCAAGCGGCTGGACTATTGATCCTACTCCGACTGTGGCGAGTGGCCAGAATTATAAATGGTAAGTTTGTCAGATAGTTAGTTTCAGGGAATTTGCTGGCTATTTTACTTGCTGAACCAAGTGTGTGTGTGTGTGTGTGTGTGTGTGGGCGGGGGGGCGAAGGGTTCCAAAGACGTATGCAAGAGGCACATTTGCTAACCTGTGTCCTGATCTTGCAGCAAGTGCCATGTGGACACAGGTGTTTTGCCCATGCAGATTTTGTTGCAGGAGTTTAGCCTGAGTTAGTTTGTAAGCTCTTTGGGGCAGGGATCATCTGTTTGTTGCGGTAGCATAGCTCATATGCAGTAGGGACCTGATTTGTGGCAGAACCCAGATGCCCTAACCAAATAATACCCATGTATCCAGCACACTACTCTTAAAACATTCTTAGATTACTCACTCTTGAAGAGGGATAACATATGCTTTGTTTTTGTATTATGAGAGTGTCTTAATAACATGACAGGGGGGGAATAGTGTAGTCTCTCTGTCCTTCTGGGATTCCAGTTCACTAGTAAAATATGCATTTTGCCACTTCAGCACTTCCTCTTGTCACTGTCACTTTTCCAGACTGCTGCTGGTGGTGATCTGGATAACAGCCCTTGTGCTACTTGGGATCTTTTTCCAGTTGATTCTGGTTTAATTGTGCAGTACTATGAAAATATCTACAAGCCTACCTGCCCTAAATATGTCACTCACAAAAAAGGATTTAGAATTGTTTACATTTTTCCTTGAGATCAGCAAAGAAAAAATTAAAAGGCTGGCAGTGATATTTCTCCTCCTCCCTCCCCTTCCAGACCTTGCTGCTACTGTAACAAAACAGTACATATAAAAAAGACACATACCCAGTAGCTGGAACCATTTCCTTCCTGCATCATAAAGAACCTATTTTGGCATTAAATATGTGAAGTCCTGATCTTCCATCATTCAAGGCTAAAACCTCAGACCTACACCTGTACTGTAGCCCCTGTACACAGCGCCTACAAATTCACTTTACACAACTGCCCATTAGTTGACACAGTTGTGAATCACCATTTATTTAGGACAAAGCGAAGATATTTGTGTCCATAACGTGTGGCTTGCACAGATTTAAATACAAAATGGTCACCTCTAGGAAAAAGGGAGAATAAATGAACTTTGGGAGTAGAAACAGACGCTGACCTTAATCTGGAGTGAAGGTTGGAGACTAACAGTGGCCTAGAGTGAGTCTCTAATGATGCATATGTAAGTCACTGCTATCAGTCTTAAGATGTAATCTTAGTTGAAGCTAAACCTTTTAGTCCTGTCTCAAATATTTACAAGGAAAGGGAGTTCTTATCTTTGGGGTTTTGCTTTCCCTTCCCTTTGATCCAGATTTCCCTAATGTTCATAACAGGAGTCTGTTGTACAAATAAATGAAGCCAGGTCGCTCACATTTCCTGAATTGCTGGAAGGAACGAGTTTAGACAGGGTGGGGACAGATTCTGGCTTTATCAGGATTCCATAGCTTTCAGGTTGTGTTCAGGCCAGGTGGTTGCAGTCATCAGATGCGCACACATGCCCTGGGAGGAGGTGGAATCTATGCACAAAAGCCGTGTAGATGTTTCCATTCTCCTTTAGAGAGGCAAGAACTTGAAAATCAGGGCCATGAAGTATGCAGAACCGGCTCCAGTACTACTGCATGTAGCAGCAGGTATACAAAGCATAAGATGCCAGCTTTTTGATTACACTGCACTGTCACCCAACAGGAGACTCTAGCGGCTAGGAAGAATTTGGTGATGCAGTTCTTTGTAAAGAAAAGAGTGGTAAGATAATTCTTGCCTCAGCTATGGGGGAGGAATTATATGCAATGGCTTTAGTAAAGGAAAGACACTTGTATCCTGAAGGGAAATGGAATGTCCTTCTTCCAGAGGCATTTAAAGAGAAGTTAAAAGCTTTAAAGAACAAGTGAAACCCTGGTCAAGGCAGCACCCCAGCCTGTGGATCTAGACTGGATGGTCAGTGTTTTATCTTCCTGTTTTAGTGGGTTCCAAAAGAGTACTTGCTCTCCTCAGTTGTGCTTTATGCTAGGTTAGGTTAAGGCCAAGGCCCTAACAATGGAAAACCTGTGTTTAAAATGGAGGTACAAATTGTTACTCAACCACACATCCCCTTGAGTTCTGCTGAAGGACTAAATTCAAAGTAGAGATTTGAATGACCGGGACCTGGTCATTGGCGGCCGAGTGCCACTTCTCAGCAAGATGTTGGTGTTTGAAGTCCCTGTGGGGCTAATTTGAGAACTGTATTACGAAAAGCATGACTTGGAGGCAGAAGCAGAGTTTGAGAGGCTACATGGATATAAAACAAAAGACTTGAGCACAAACCACAGATGCTATTAACTTCCTACTGTCTTCTGTTTTACATCATAAAGCTAATCCTCCCTGCATTGTTTCCTAGGAATAATTTTATCAGTAAAGACACGCTCTGAACAACGGGTGTCGAAGCTGAAGCAAGCAAATCTGCAACTTACTACGAAAGTCGAACAACTGGAATACAGCTGCACAGAGAAGGTAAGAAGGGTCATAAAAATGTAAACAGCTGCATGAGCTGGACTACAGTCCTTTCCCAGCAACTAGCTATCTAGGAGACCAATGGCCAGCGTGATGCTCTGGGCTCTGTTTTGTCCCAGCAATATGATTTGGGATGTTGCACGTTGGCCATGAAATCTACCCAGCTCCTATGCAGTTGGTACGAGAGCACTTTGGGGTGTCCTATAAACAAAAGGGCCCATTCAAACAAGGGCCATGATATTTCCAATTCCCTCTACCACTTCTATTATGTAGGGTAAGCACATATTTGATTTAGCAATGCCTTGTTGAAGAGCTGTGCTGTTTCCCTGCAGGGATGGCTCCCTTTTCAGCAATGGGAGAAGAGCTCTCTGGTTATAGCTTGGAAAGTGTTTGAGGATGAGAGCTACATTAATAAGATTTTATTTCCAACAGGAGCAAGAAATCGAAAGGCTCAACAAGCTGTTACAACAGCATGGACTTGTCCACCAGCCCCAATAAAAGACTGGCTGCCTAGGGCGAGGGAAATCTGTCCCTGAGGAAGTTCCAGTGCAAAAAATGCTAGTTTAACCATTCCTTGTTGACCTCTAAGATACTTTATATACCTCCGTGCTCTCTTGTATAGTATGGTCTAGATGTAGTTTCTACTTTACTACCCCTGAGATTTAATCAAAAGAGTCTGGCTAAAAGTGTTGCAAAGCTCCTGTAGTGTACAGGTAGTCTTACAACAGATTATTGAAAAATTAAACACGCATTCTCCCTTAAACAATGTATTGCATAAATCTTTAATTGTAGAGCTGTACAGTGAATGCTGCAACAAATGTAATAAAGTCAGATATTTACAAAGCGGTGAATATTGGGGGTGCAACTTATTTCAAGGAGTTGCTGTTTTTTGCTGCATGTTCTTCATTTGCAATACCCGGTAGGAGCTTGCAGTTCAAGAAGACAACCAAGATAAGAGTGCAGTCTGAGGAAGGTCATTTAGTTTACAGCTCAGCATTATTCTGTCTCTAAACCACCTCTTGCTCTATTCCCATTTGTCTTTTGTCAGAGTAGCTTCCTCGCTAATCTTTGCTCTGGCCGTATTATCCTGTTGCTGGGTAGCACTTCCGGAGGTGCTGTTGTACTTAATTGTGCAATTAGTCGCAGCACGTGTAATTTTGAACAAGAGCAGAACCACGTCAGCTACATCCAGATAAGGTAGGTGTCCTCAGCAGCAGGCTTGAATACTCTGCAGTATATTATTTCTTCAGTTCTTGCTCTTCATTTTCATGTGGGCTGGGGAAAAAGGGAACTGCGTAACTGAAGCTCTTAAAATAAAACATTAAAGTAGTGGCGTGTGTAAAAGTTAGTGCGCTACTGAAGAGGATTATGCTCCAAAATAACCTATCATAACAGATCATTCCAGCTAGCAGGATTGTTCTTTAGACTCAATGCAAACTTGACTAAGGTGCTGGAAAAGGCCCACTCAGTGAGTGCACTCTTACTACATGTGCAGGCATCGTTTTGAAGTGTGGAAACTGATGGGTGGGATTTCAAGAGTACTTGGTGTTGGCAGAACTGCTCTCGTTGATTCCCATGCAAGCAGGTCAGCCAATAACGAGGACATTGGAAAATCCCCAGCCTGTCTGTTTAGCTTTTTTTAAAGATAGTTTAATTTCAGCCTTCAGAGTTACAATAAGCAGCATATTTCCTATCTTTAAAAGCAGGTGAAGCTGAGGGCTTTATTCATCTAATGCTTGGTGATTACTTAGTTTAAGAAGTAGAACTTGAATGGGATTTGGATGTATACTTACGTTAAACAAATGGAAAGAAAAAATCAAAGGGTAACTTGGCATCAATGGTTGGTTGAGCTTTATAGCCTGGCTCTGCCGGTGTAGAAACATCAATGAAAGTAACAGAACTTGCTATCTGAATAGTTCTTTCACTTCCAAAATTAGTCTGCAATAAAGATACAGAATAAGTGTTAGGCTCACTCTGTTTTTATACAGCTGACTTTTCATTAGGGATTAAATATTTAGCTGTCACTGCCACATGCATCCGACGAAGTGGGCATTCACCCCGAAAGCTTATGCTCCAATACATCTGTTAGTCTTAAAGGTGCCACAGGACTCTCCGTTGCTTTTTACTGGTAACATCGGTACTTTGACATCACGGAATTTCCTTTTTGAGACGTGTGTACAATTTCACTGGAAACTTGTTTGTAGCAAGGAGTCCACAGTTATGTTTGAGTTGCAATGAAAACTGATGGATACAATACATTCTAACAAAGTTTTATCTTGATCTCTTTCTGACAAACTAAGTGGTTGTCTACACTGCACTTTACAGCGCTGCAACTTTCTCACTCAGGGGTGTGAAACACCCCCTCTCCCCTCCTCCCCCCCCCGAGCACTGTAACGTGCCAGTATAGACAGTGCACCAGCACTGGGAGCTACGCCCCTCGTGGAGGTGGGTTTTTTTAGAGCTCTCTCCCAGCGCTGTGTCGCGACTACACAAGTCGCATTAAAGCGCTGCTGTGGCTTTACTGCGGCCAGTGAAGAAGTGCCCTAAGGGAAACAGAAGAGCAACAATGTTTATATAACAAGGCCTCTGTTATGTACAACTTATAGGTAATGTATAATAAACCACTATCTTTAGTGTTCTAAATAAAACACATTCTTCCACTCTTAAATCAAGCAAGTTTACCACAGACCTGGGCCAGTATGGTGGTAATGACCGTTGCTGAGACGTTCACAATTTTAGCTTGTGGGTTCACCAAAGATCCATATTTACTCCACTTCACTTCTATTTCAAATGATACTGGGATTTGGCATAGGCCCTGAAAACATTACAAATTAGCTTATATTGATTTTTGTTTCATTCATTTTATTAAACATGTACAATACCCAACAGCTCAATGTGGGAGTTTTGTAAATTACCAGAGTAACTCCATAGTTCCCCTCAATAGACAATGCTGCTAGCCATGTGCTGTGGTACATTATTCATGCAAGCATAAAAGCACTTGGGTCCTCACCTGATGATAATCACTGTAGCTTCATTGACTTTACTGTGGACTTCAGTGTCCATTTACAGCAGCTGAGGACTCAAGTGTGTGTGTTCTTAAAAGAAAAATTAATTATTTTCACCTGTTCTGAAGATTGGATGTGAGTGATTGGCACCCAATCCAATACATCTTGGGCCTGAGAATTTCCAAATGAAGCTACATATTCTGGAAAATTTTGTCCTTTCAGTACATTCAAGATGATATTGGCCAAGAGTTGACATTCTGTACTTGCTGTGATTCTTTCAGAAAAGAAAAGATCAATTTAAGTGAAATCTTGTGGGTTAGCATAGCAATGATTTCCCCTTGCTCATACAATGCTCAGTTCTTCTGACTAGAGCTGATATTCTATATACAACTATTCCAAGACAATTCCGTTAAATTACTTTTAAACTAAGTACTCACCCACCTACCTCCACTACTGGTACATTGTACAAAAATTCTAGCATCTGAACAGATATTCTAATCAGGTAAATGGAACTATTACTAGTGGGTTATAGCTTGAGAATAGATTGATAAATGCTCAATGGAAAGTTACCCTCTTACCTTAGTTTACAACCAGATATCATATTATAACCAAATAATACTGGGGTTCTGACTCCTTCTACAGCAAGACAGTCCTGGTTAGATGAGCTTTGCAAAATAGTAAGTTGACCGTATGTATTAGAACTCTGAATAATGCCAGATGTAATAGCAGAGAGTTAAGGCATAATATTAAATATTCAGACTGTGTTATGAAGTGGAATCCTTAGTAAAATCCTCAAAATGCAAGTGAAAATGCTACAATAATACTAGATACTCTGTAGATAGTTTAGAAACATTACTAGAATACATAATTAGAGCCTGATCCTATTTCCTTAGAAGTCAATGGCAAAGCTCCCACTGATTATAGTGGTACAGGATTGAGTCAGTAGATATTTCTGAAATATGGGCTAGTAGGAATGCATAACTTTGGGAAAAGAATGCTATAAACCATCCTTGACAAATAATCATGAAGATGTATCAACCCAGGCACAAAATCTACTTGCCCACCTTTTACCATGAAGATGGTCAATGCTTATATGTCATTCATTGAGCTAAAGTTCTTGCCCTAGGCAAGAAGCTTTTTCAAAGCTGCTATAAGCCACATTTAGATGTGAAAAGGATATCCAGGTGGTCTAAATCCTGCCCTCAGAGGCAATCCAATACCATAACCAGGATTTCCACTAAGAGGGACTGGCTTTGTGTTTAGCTGTAATACAAATTACACAACATTATTTATGTTTTACTTCAATATTTGGAAGCCAGAGACAGTTAATTCATTTAGGATAAGCGGTCTTGAATAGTTTGAAATATCAATCCATCCAAGACTTCTGCCTAGGACTACACAAGTGTTTACAAAATCAGAGCAACACTTTGCCTTAATTACACACAGGTGTACAGCCACCCGATGAGCCTTCAAAAGGAAAAGCACCAAAGCATTTGGAGGATGTGAACGCACGGCTCTGAAGTTCTGCCTTGCTCATCCATCCAGTATAAGCTGTGCTCTACTTTACTGGTAATTAGTTCTGATGGAAGTTAATAACAAACCTTATTAATCTTTCAGCAAATTCTCTATAATATCTTTAGACGTTACCTGAGTAAAAGTGATTTCAAAGCTTTGTTGTATTGGAAGCATTGTATTGTTAATTGTCCCCAGGACAAAAGAAATAGCTGCAGCCGTTATTTCTCCTGCATCGGTGTATGTAATAGAATAACTCACCTGAAAACAGAGTTTTCCATATTAATTAGAATAAGTAAAAAATGAGCTAAAAAACAGACTATAGAGGGAATCTTTCCACACTTCTCCCCTTCTTTAGGGATAAATGTCCTGGAAGATCACCACCACCACAATCTAGAAACATGCACCTTCTCAGTTGCAATACCCATGTAAAGTCACGTGGCTGTAGAACGGCAGGATTCGAATCACTAATCAGTACATGGCTGATCATTTTATAGTGGCCACATATTAGAAGTCAGACATACCTGCATATGGTTTTATAAAATGTTAATGGGTAGGGACTGATGGAGTCTGGGGGGAAAATAACCTCTATATTCTGGCTTTTCCCCTCATCAGGAAGGAACTTTGGGGAAAAGCGAATAAGTAGGCACTCTCTCTCTCTATCTCCATTCATCTACTGACTACAGAAGTGACACTGAAGGAAGTAGTTGTGGTCTAGCCTAGAGAAAAATGTGATACTTACAAAGATGCAAAGAGAGATCAGTATCCCTCTCAATAGATGTAGGAGATAAAGGACACAAATGTAACAAACCAATACATTAGTTATCAGTGTATAGGAATGATTTAATGCTTCCCAGTTTCCTCAAAACTGATTTCCTGACACCATCTCTCCTACTCACTGTCCTATACCAACCCTCAAGTTTAGTTATTTTCAAAAAATGTAAAGACATGAACTAACATGCATTGTACCAACCCAACCAGCAGTTTAATCTTATTTTGTGTATTCCTTCTTCCCCCAAGCATCCTGTCTCAGATTCATCTTAGATTCTAAGCTCCTGGAGACAGAGACTGTATCTTGTCTATGTAAACTGCCACACACGAATAGTAAATATTAAGTAGTATTAGATGGATTTGATCCCATGTCTCCATTTTGCATTAGTGTGCATTTCCAATCCAGTTGCAGGATACCATGCTGTATATTGTAAGGCTCTGTTCTCCCAAAGATGAAGTTTCTCTTCACCACATTTTAGCTGGAAGTGTCATGATTTCCAATAGTTTCAGAAGTAGGTGTGAAGCAGGAATGATCTAATACATACATGCCTTTAATTTAGTACAAAGAGGAAAAACAATTTGTGTACCTACCGCAAGAACTACATTTATGCACACTTGATCATCCAAATACATGGGGAGCAAAAGGACATCACTACTGTTAAGCAGACTACGTGTTCCACTCAGAGACTGGATAGTTATGCTCTGGACAGTAACATTAACCTGAAACATAAACAAGTGTCATTTCTTAATACTGGGTATAACTGAACAGTTAGGCACACGATCCTGCCTGGATGACTGATACTTTTTCTTGTTTAAAAGAAATCCAACTGTTATAATTCAGAAGTCTTAGAACAGTGGCTTCCTGGAAAGTAGTAGTTTGTTTCCTAGAGACAGCTACATTAGTCAGGAGCTACAAGCATTTGTCTGTACCCTAGAAGGGCATGCTCTAAAACCCTCAAGAGCTAGCCTGAGGTTTCTGTTCCAGAGGGACAGAACAATGGTCGTGTTACATGAATTGCTGAATACCAGTCAGATGTTCCATTTTTAATAGCAAATATGAGCTAACCTAGAGTCTAGAATTATATTTGGGTGGGGATTCAATCACCAGAATTAATAAATCCTCTCAGGGAGTAGCTCCAAGCTCTTGAGCACCTTTCACTGGTTAACTGTACCACTGCTGACAGAAGACATGCTAACTGGCTTCAAGAGTGAAATCCTGGCCCCGCTGAAGGCAATGACAAAACTCCCATTGACGTCAATGGAGCCAGGATTTCATCCTAAGTGTGTCGCAGCTAAGAAATAATGTTACTTACCATCTGACTTGACTTAGGTACCTAGGGGAGGGAACAAAAACAAGCTATTTCAAACAACAGCTAGATCATTAGCTAAAAATAGCAAATAAGTAAAAAGGTAAGTGGTTAAGACAATTGCTTTGTCTATTTCTTTCTTCTCTACCAACAATTATCTAATATTACAATGGCTTTCACATCAGGGAAGTAACTAGAAATACCATATATTATCCTCACTGCCAAAATTAGCAGCTACTCATGACTTCAGAGCAAAATCGTGTAGTCCTTATGGTCTGATCCAGTGCCCGTTGAAATCAGTGGAAAACTTCCTAGATTTCAATGGGTTTTGCAACAGGCCCCAACTTTGGCTAAACTCCCACAAATAATAATAATAATTAATAATAAATTCAGCAAGGAATAGGCGGCTTTACGATTTCCTTAAAAGGTTACCAAAACTTGGTGTCTGCTCTTACTATTTCCAGTCTTGCCTGCCTTTTTGCAACACAAACTCTGAAGATAAAGTGAGCAGGATATATTATGAAAGTTTAGTTGTATCAAAAACACAACTTCAGAAATGGCACCTCTACTTTACATAACAGTTGTTCGTATGTCATACTGCTTAGCTTATTGACAAGAGTTTATGCTGCAATAATTCTGTAGAGCTCCACAAGCTCCAAGATTGATTCTTGCATTCTGCATTAAATCACCAACTAAAACTTGTTTTTTGTTGGCAGAGGCGCACAAAGCAGAATCTGGAATGTTTAGGTCCTGGGTTCGTTTGCAATGCTGTCAAGACAATCAAGTTGGGCTTAGTAAATTGAGCAAAACTGATGGAGATTTCACTGACAGAATAATAATGAATGCCCATGTGTCATTTGTGAAACCGTGGCAAAGTCCAAGGCCCAATGCTTGACAAAATGTCTCCTTTTCCCTTTTTTGGAAAATAACTAAGAAGAGAAGAATAGGAAAAAGATTCATTCTTGAAAAAGTAAGTTTTAAACTAGAACAAGAGTGGGTTAGATGGCAGCAGGGCTCTGTCTTGCGCCAGTAAAAAGGGGAACTGAGGGACAGTTATGACCATCCTGCCTTTTATGGGAGCATGAGGAGGCAGAGGGCACAGGTATGGCCCCCGACACTGCTATTCAAAAACATCCTATCTGGGGCCACGAAGTGCATGCGTACCTACAGGGATCCACACACTCAAAGAAGAACATTAATCTCACTCTACCAAAACCCTGGCCACTGCCAGCTTAGGCACTCTAGCCCAGACCCCCAAAGGTATATAGGCTCCTAACTTCCATTGAAATCAAGTTAGGAGCCTAAATACTTCTGAAGATCTAGGCTCCTGGCAATAGGCTCTTTATGAAAGCCTAGGCATGCATATCGAAAGCGGAAACCCACGCCTCTACAATAAGTCCACTAGCTCAGCGACAGCAATCCTAGAATCATACACAAACTCTGATCTTCCAGGCCGTCTTTTGGTTATCTAAGCCCCCAACAAATAAGTGCTTCTCCTTTCTGAGCTTGAAAGGGGGATGGAGGGAACGGCTATTTCTACAAGGTATGATGGTTATGAAGATTTTTTCCAAATCCCATTTAAACTCCTATATAAAGTAAACAGTCATCATCCCACTTCCCTTAGGAAGTGGAAATTATGTAATTCTAAAGATGTGAAGAGGAGATAGGAAATAAATACCAACTGTCAGCCAGCAGCTGTGTTTCAAAATCCTACTTACTGCTAAAATGCTGGAGTTGGTGTAGAACAGCATACTAAGTGCTTGAATGGTGTTACAGTTTCCCACATTTATCATTCTACTGCATTTCACAGCCTGGTTTACTAGAAAACCTGTAAAAAAAGTATTACTGAGAGAACTAAAGAAAAGCCATTTATGAAAAGCAAAAGACATAAAAATTTCAAGTAAATGCAACACAGAAAGTGAATGTGAAGTAGTTCTTTAGATAGCTGTCAATTAAAAGATTGTCTATTAACACCTCCATACAAGCATATGACTATATCTTAGAATCAGTTCCTATTATGCAGCCTATGGTACAACTGTAGCTAAAAAGCTTTATCACTTCTGTAGTGAAAATCCTCACGTTTCAGGTTAAATTCAAAACTAAGAGTTTACCTTTTCATTAAAATTTTAACCGTCATGGAGGGCAAAACAAAAAAAAGGGAATTTATTTTCCATTTCTTTGACATTTTGACTTTTGTTTAGAGACAGAAAAGAGAGCCACACTTTTTCACATAGTTTAAAGAGGATTTTCATGATTTTATCATCAATCACTAATTATGTGCATGTATGCTCATTTAGGACATGATCGCATTCTTACTAAACAACATTTCCTACAAATAGAAATTTACAACAAAATCTACTATTAGACTTACGTTTGCATTTAGGGCTCTCAGAAGCTTATCTTTCTTCCTTTAACTAGGGATTTCACAGTTTCTCTTCCCCCATTATCTACCAGATGCCAATACTTTTATTTGTCATCTAGTATCTTCTGTAACATACACCGTCTTGTATTTATCTCTGAAGCATTTTCGGATATTGTTGGTATGAAAGATATAAATTCAGGGCCCAACCCTACAACTCTTACTCAGGCAAACAGAGCTTACTTGTGTGAGGAACTTCCTTGGCTTCAGTGGGGACTCCTTCCAAGAGTTGCAGGATTGGGCCTTGTTTCATGTAAACACCATCCCACCTTGCATTATCACCCTCACACTAATTCTATTGCATCCATAAGGCCAAAGGGGCTCAGTTTCAGAAACGGAAAAGCAACCCATTAATGGGACTCAGTGATTTATATATGTGACTCTGAATGGCTCTGTCTACATGGAACACAGTTTCCTGTCTATGACCAAAAGGAACTAAAATAGCTAAGTACCTTTTTTATAAATGAAACTTTACCCAGATTTGGACAGGTAAGTGTGCTAGTTCATTTGAATCATCTATAAATTGGAGTGGCAGGATAACAAAAACACACACTAAAGAGAGGATAAACAGGAATTAGAATGCATTCTCCAACCTGCAGGATTAGCATCAGAGCACTGAGAAGAGACAAGGGGAGCAGGCAATCTCAGAAATGCATCTGCGGTCTGTACAGGAACACCATACTGCCAAATAAAGGGGTAAACCCAAGCTTGTAGATTTTCAGTACACAGAAAGATGAATAAAATATACAACAAATTTAACCAGAACTATTAACATTTTGTTTGCTTCTACCATAGCTCCCAATATACCAAACTTCTCCACCCACCAATATCTCAAGCCAAGATCATGTTACCATTGTAAATTGACTGCTAAATTAAAGATTTGCTACAATCACTGGAAATTCTCCAGCTCATCTGCTGTTATAAAAATAAAACAAATCTTCTCAAAGACTACAAAGTCCATATTTTAAAAATTTGCACTGACAACTGGCTAGATAAACCCTACTTGCTATATTTTAATAGCATCTTGCCATTTTCTTTTTTTCTTGCCAACAATAGCAAAAGTAGCATAAGGAAGCTGCATGTTTCCCAGATGTTAAAAATTCACTTTGATTTTGGAGAAGACTAAAGCCAAATGCTGCACTTTAGTCTTTTGCTCTGAAATGTTTATATTTAATGAAGGACTATAATGAAGTCTGTATTTTTCAGAAAAGTAACTTTAAGTTGATGCAAACAACGTTTATTCAATTATATACGGAAAGATTAATTAGTGAGAAAGTGTTTTATGATCAAAGAAAGTACATTTAAAATATTGCAAATATAAAAAGAATCAGATTATTTTTACCTCATATCTAGCAGTTTCATTTGCATCAGAGGAATTCTGAGCATCTGATTCAGTATTCAAGAGAACATCAGATTCAGCACTGAAGGTAACACCTTCAAACTGTTTAAGCAAACTATCAAAATTTTGTGAAGTGGGCATTTCAGGAGGAATAAAGGACAGTGCTTGTTTATCTGTGAAAAAATATTTTATAAGTGAGAAAGTTTTAGAATAAAAGTTATAAAAACTGTGTTTAGTAGCATACATTTCCATTGTGGAGACAGGAACATCCCATTTTTAAATTCTAAGGGTAAGGAAAATACCAGAATAGAATGAATATTTCTCAAAGTTTTCTAGGAGGTATCAGCAGGTATCCATAATTTGGCCCTGATTCAAAAAAGCACTTAAGCATGTGCTTAAAATTAAGTACAGAATAAAATGCTTTCCTAAATTTGGGACCTTTTAGACCAAAGTCTCTGATTTGCTCATACATTCTGATACCAAGACATACCAATTAATGGATGGTGCTTAAATTACTATTTCACAGTCATGATGAGATGAAAAAATTACAGCATGAACTCTATTTCATTTATGTGAAAGCCCCCACAAAACTGGCACTGGAAGAGCTGGAAAAAATTTCACCAGTTGCACAGTCACAGCTGGAGCTAGTTAGTTCCCCCTGCAGAAAATATCGACTTTTCATCTAAAAATTTAAACAGTTTTAGTTTTCTGATGACAAATTTAAAATTTGAGAAAAGCAAACATTATCTGCAATAATCTTCATTTAGTCAAAAGCCCAATTTCCCACTGAAAAAAGTTTTGATGGAAATCTTCAACCAGCCCTAATTAGATCCCAATCCCATTCTCTCTATAGAGAGGCTCTGTATGAGGGCAAAACTCCTTTGATAAACCTGTTAGTGTTTTGTCAGGGCAAGGAGTATGGCACCAGACCTCTGAGCATACAGGATAACCAGTCTTCTTGCAAGTTTGGTTACTTGCAGTTTTAGTCTTTATTTTTGCCATCCAAAGAGTTTTGAAGATGACAACATTGCATTGCTCAGCATCAGTTACAGATCTACTTACAGTTTGTAGCGTGAATGCAGAAAATACTTGGATTGTTCTGATCAACTAACTTAAATATCCTTTCAGGTGGATGTGCTGCAACATCGATTGAATATATAGCTGCTTCCTGACTGCAAAGCTGGCTGTCACCTCTGCAAACACATATACAGATCCAACAAAGTCAATCTTGACAGTGTTATTTTAAAATCTTTATATGCATGTATTGTTGTAACAGAAGGAAGGCAACAGTGGGGATGGATAACTGCAGTAAAGATTTGAAGATCATTTATGCACCCTTACAACATTTTATACTGTTTATCCCAGGGACAAACAACAGCAATTAGCCATTCTCCAATATCTTTCCTTCATGGATTTCAAAACAGAGGGATGTGATAATAGCCACAGTTCAAAGTATGACAGCATTTGATGACAATGATATAAAAGATGACAACTCAGATGGGATCCAATTGGCTTCAGACACCACAATGGCAGATGTGTTAAAGACTGGACATTCAGAAAGTGCTTTTATTCATACCAGAGAGAAGGTAGGGGATGGGTCGGAACGAGGTTGAACGTAGAGAAAGCTGCAAGAGGATCAGGAGAAAATGAGGTGCATGGACTTGAGATAGCAGCAGAATCATATCACTCATCTTCATGAAAAGAATATAATGAACTGCTCACAACACATAGCAGACAAGGGATGGAATGAGAAACATCAAAGAGGGGAAATATTGAGTTAGTTTAGGATAGGTACAATGTGTTACCAGGATCCTCAATGAAGATCAACAAGAGAATTTGGTTTTGCAGCGGTATGGTCAATAGTGAGTGGTGTTTTCCATGCACCTCAGTGGATGGTAGATGTCACACTCTGAAGAGTACTAATCCCCCCTACATTGGCTGGTGGACTTGGATATGAGACGGTGATTCCTCGTGTGCTAGAGTGTGTGGATACTGCAGAGTGGTCAAAAGCAGTGAAAGGACATTATCCAAATTAAAAGAAATTGCATATATAGAACTTATATAATCTTGACCCCTACATTGCTCTTTTATTAAGTGATGCTAGTTAGACATGACCCATTAGGTAGACAGTTGTAAACTATTTCATAAGGTGAACCACATCATGGACTGTATTCCTGCTCCCTCAGGATCCCACAAAGTACCTCCCGGCCCATTCATAATTATAACACACCTGTAGCAACTACAGCAATTGCTTATATGAAAGTTACCATCTTTAAAATGAGAAGTAAAACTTGTGGTCATTGACAATCCCTTGACATGTCACAAAAGACAGCTTGAGAAAAAAAAAGTACAGCTTGATTTTATGCATTTCTAGTTGACAAGAATAAAATATTCATAGCAGAGGATTCAACTGTCATTCAAAAAGGCTTTGATTACACCTTTCGGATAGATATATAAAATACCTATACATGGGTGGCAATATGCATTGTGGCAAGAACAAAGAAATAGCAGTCCCAGGTGGCTGAATGATTCAAATTTCAAAGCACTGAGAATAAACTCCACGATTCAGATTGGGCTAATTTATGCAGGCAGTGGGTTGAAGAGCTATGCTTATTGTTCTGAGAGGTCACATGGAGCTATTTTAAATTAAGACTCTAAAATGAGCTTTCTTAACTCCTGTTTGAGAGGCTGAAGCCAGTGCAAAGCTACATACTAAGACAGGTTGTAAACAGCAACAAAAAAGAAACAATAATCCAGCATTATATTACTATCATGTTATATTTTAATATTTTACTATGTTACTTTAGAAAGGCATAAGTTGCCAATGAGATGAAGAGATTCTATGCTTGCTCCTAAAAGAGAGATCAGAGGAAAGCTCACATTATCGAACGATGGCCATGATGCTCTCACGTTCCTAGTTAACATGACTAGGACTCCTTACAGCAAAGGGTTCCCAAACTAACACTGATGGACTACTGGTGGTCCATGGAAAGAGCCACCTGCTCACCTGGTGCTAACACTCCTAATTTCCAGCTTCTAAATTGTATTGATAGGAAGCTGCAAATATTTTACTCTTTCTCTTAAAAACAATGCCCTTAATGTCACGATAAGGCATTGAGTCAGTATTGACACAGAGGGAAAGGTGTAACCTTCATCACTCCCTGCAAAACCTGCATTTTCCTTCAAGATCTCCTATCCGAGCAACAGACAGACATGGCCTTGCTTAGTTTGACAGGTATGATGAGATTACAATCCAAGGCACAGCACAGTGAAATTAATGTAGAAGTTCAAACATCTGTTCCAAATAGCCACCCAGTGCTATAATGGATACTAAATTACCTTTGCATCTCCATGTCAAGATGTAGGCTGAAGTCATTCCTGAAGTATTAAATTCTTATTAAGTGCTGGCACTATTCTTGATGTCAGAACAATTAGAGGTTCAGCTCCATAGCCTTAAATATTCACATCCCACTCAAAAGTGATCTTTTACAAACGTACAGCTCCCTTTTTTACTCCAGAAACAGTTCAGTGCAAACAGACACATGTCCCAACATGAGACCATTATCAACCTCCCTTGGGACTTCTCTTCAGCTGTAAAGAGATCTCACTAAAACTAACTCCAGGCTGTGATGGGGATATACAAACCCCACATTGGACAGGAAGGGGTTAAAAAGCAGGCATAAACTGAAGCCTCCCTGCCCCACCACATCTGTGAGGCATTTCAGGCCTGGATGAAGAGCCTTAGAAAGAGGGAAGCCCAGCCCAGTTTGGGGAGAAGTGTACTCCTCCATGACCACAGCCAGTCTGAGCAGAACTGGGCATACCCTGAATGTCTATTTCAGAGCTCCTATCAGTGATTTACCTGTGGGCTTTGAAGCCTTATTCAGACGGCTGGAGGTCCCTTGTTTGAAGGCAGGCCTGCTGCTGTCTTTCATTAGTTTCTTTATGATAGTCCCAGAGCTAAGATCAAGTGTAGTACCAGAAAGGGAAGATTCCCATGGGACTCAGGTGAAGGCCTGAATCTCCCAGGCCCAGTAGACCTGTGCTGATGATTGCCTAGGTGCTGAGGACTGGATGGCGGGTGAATGCAGTGCCCTGTCACAGGCAAGGGGGTTCTGTGGGAAAACATGCCCACGACGCAGACCCTAGCCTGAATTCATTGAATTTAATGGGTATTTTGTTACTGAATTCAATGAGAATATGATGGGACTCTGCAACTTCAAGCTGGAAAAAAAAGTTATTTCTGAACTTACGTGACAATGTGAACTGAACATGTAGTAAAGAGACTGAAATCTGCGGCACTGCAGTCTGGGTCACAGCAGCAATTTACATCACACTGTGCCACTGAGAGGTCACAAACACACAACATAGCAACTGGAAAGAAGAAGATTTAAAATAAAATTAGGAATGAATTTTAATGCATAACAAAACATTCTTTATATTTTGTTTTCACAGTGTCCTTCTTTAACTGCAGTTAAATGTTTGTATCTAAATTCTAAGGTATTGTTGTTTTTAAAACCATGAATTTTTATTTAAGATACACATTTTCTCAAGCAGTGACCATATGATGAGCAATTAACAAAATCAAGGGCATACTAGAGACCTGATTCTGCATTCCTTAGGAACCCAAAACTCCTAGTGAAATCAACAGGAATTTTGAAGATGTCAAAAAAATATGATTTCTATATATTGATATAGAAAAAGTCATATTAATAAATGTTGATCTACTTGTTTAGATTCTAACATAAATATAAAACATTTTGTTATAACTCCCACACAATTCCAAGGACAAGACATGCTCCAGGTATAGTAATATATTTTCCTGATGTCTCAATATGAGTTGATTTTTTTCCAGATGTGCACTTTCTTTCTTTCCTCCTGTTTCCATATAATCTTTGCAGCTTTATCTTAAAAATTCTTCTAGTTCCAATTAACCCCCTATAGGCTGCACCTGGAGGAAAGCCAGAGCATGCTAAAGCCTCATTTGCTGATGAAGTCCAGCTTGGAGAGGAGCTGGGCTGGGCTTATAAAGCCAGGATGCTGGCAACAGAGAGTTTGGCTATAGCACTCCCTGACAGAAGAGAGGTGAGTTTGAGGCTATAGGGCAGGGGTTCTCAAACTGGGGGTTGGGGGCCCTCAGGGGGTCATGAGCTGTCAGCCTCCACCCCAAGTCCTACTTTGCCTCCAGCATTTATAATAGTGTTAAATATATAAAAAATGTTTTTAGTTTATTGAGGAGGGGGGTTGCACTCAGAGGCTTGCTATGTGAAAGGGGTCACCAGTACAAAAGTTTGAGAACCACTGCTACAGGGCTCTGCAGTTACTCCCTGTGAGGGAGGAGTTTGAGCTGGTACACAGTGGGGGAGGACCAGATGATATAGGAAGAAGCAACAGCGTCTGAGTCAAAGAGACCTACAGTTTGCAGGTACAGGGTCTCTGGACTGGAACCTGGACCAGTGGGCAGGTCTAGGTTCCCCTACTGGCCACAAGGGAAATGGCACAATCAGGGCAGTGCTGGATAAGACTGCCTGAGACCAGTTGTGCAGAAGGACTCTGGCATGTGGCTGGAAGGCTGCATCACGAAGAGGAGGCAGCAGCTCCTGAAGCAAGAGAGGAGCCACAGCTGGCAAAAGAGTGTGGTGGAGACAGTGCAACCACAGGAAGGGGTGTTAGCTGTACAGAGGCAATCCTCAGAATGGCCAGGAGGGGGTGCCATCTGTGGTGAGTAGTGCACCCTGTCACTTATCAATAAGATTAGTTGCTTTTTCTTTTAATTCCCATAATTTAGTGTTTCAATTAGGACAAAACCAAAACATTCTTTGGACTATCACTTTTGGAAGTGAGGGATTTTGACTGACAATATGAAACTGTCAAGTCCAGTTAATAGTAAAATGGTCATTCTTTGCACATCCATAGTAGCTTTAACAGGCTTTCAAGGTGTCTAATCGTTTAAGCTTTAGAAGTAAGCAAGCATTGCGATTCTGATTTTAAAGGCAGAGAAAGCCAAGGCTTGAACAAGTCTCCAGAGAGTCAGTTGCAAAGCAAGGACTACAACTCAGTAGCGGTAGCACCCAGGCCACTGCTCACCATTATTTTATTTTTATTTTTTTTGCCATTTGCTGTTGAGAGTAAATATAGACTGGAGGGAGGCACTAGAGATTGAGTCTGAAACCTCTGGAATTTGGATCAGTGATGTATTTACCCCTGGACTGGAAGGGCCAAAGCCTAGAACAACAGTAAGTGAGGGATAACAGCTGGCAGTCAGAAGACAGATGACTTTTTCATATCTTTCTATTTTTTAATTTCAATTTGTAAATTTTAAATGTCACTATGGCCCACTGGATGCTCTCTGATCACCTAGACAGTGTCCAACATGCTCTCATTAATGCCTGAAGAGCTCTGTGTATGCTTGAAAGTCTGTCTCCCCCTCATCAACAGAAGTTGTCCAATAAGATATTACCTCCCCCACTGTCTCTCTCAAGTTCTAACAGCTGAATTTGGCACCAGACTTCTGAATGGGCTATGTAAAACAGGGATCAATTTTGAGGGACTTTTTTAAAGTCCTCTGACCTTCGGAAAGGAGTGCACTGGGGCAAACGTCTTAATCCCTCAAGTGATGCGGGGTGAGGATGGGACAGTAGCAGCTGTCAAGAGAGACAAATCAGGAGTGAAATGCAAAACACAGCGACCAGTTGAAAGACATTGTCAGGAGGAGCCACTCTCAGCATAAAATTATTTGTATTGTAGTAGTGTCTAGGAGCCCTAGTCATGGTCCTCAACCCCATCACAGCTAAGTGCTGTACAAACACAAAACCAAACACAGCCACTTCTTCAAAGAGCTTTCAGTCTAAGGAAATCCTGAACCCCACCAAAACAACCCTTAGCCTTTAGGTGTATCGGGGGAAAAGCAAACCCTAAAATACATGTTTCCAGTTCCTCATAGGAAAGATTTTTTTTTTCCCTCTGTATGCAGCACCATAAATGTAAACAGGGCTTTACAGAACATGTAAAAATGGCAGGGTCCTTGACCTGGAGAATTTATAATAGGAGTACTTGTGGCACCTTAGACTAACAAATTTATTAGAGCATAAGCTTTCGTGGGCTTATCCGAAGAAGTGGGCTGTAGCCCATGAAAGCTTATGCTCTAATAAATTTGTTAGTCTCTAAGGTGCCACAAGTACCCCTGTTCTTTTTGCGGATACAGACTAACACGGCTGCTACTCTGAAACCTGTCAGAATTTATAATATAACCCTGAAAAAGATGCAAGGCACAAAAGTGAAGGCAAAGGTGGTATGGGGGCCATTGCTAGCAAGAAGCCCTGGGGTGAAGCCTTCCCCACAGAAGTGGGGCTTCACAGGAAGGATTTCCAAGATGAATAGGGGGGCAACTGGCCAGCAAGCGATTGTTCCAAGTCCTAGACAAGCATGGAAGAAGGCATGAAGCCAGAGGGGGAGAAGGAACTGAAGGGAGTAGTTAAGAGGCAAAAACCATTTAAAATTGATCTTTTAAATACACTCAGCAGCCCAGTGCTTTAATTGAGGAAGTGCCACCTGGGACTTCAGAGAATTATAGAGATAGAAGCTACAGGTGCTGGGCAACTAGTGCTGGAAGCAGGGAGGATTCCTCCCTCCCCCCCGCGGGATTCCCATCCCTGAATCAGTCTCAATAGGTTCTTTCTGTGCCCCCCCTCCGATTTTTCCCATCACACCCCTCCCCTCTGCCCCATCGTTAGCCAGATCTCTCTTCTCCCCCCATCCCCATCCCTAGCCAGAGCCTCCAGCCCCTGCCCCATCCCTAGCCAAAGCCTCCAGCCCTATCGCTAGCCAGACCCCACCCTTCCCCTCCAGCCCTAGCCTGACCCAGCTCCCATCGTCCGATCCTCAGCCGGTTGCCGGCTCCCCCAGCCGCTCGCCGGGCGGTACCCACCGTCTGTGACTGGGGCAGGCCCGGGCCCAGCCCGAGCCTCCGGAGCCGCTGCCGCGGGGGGGGAGGCGGCGGGCGGAGCGGGGGTCTCTGGTGGCGGCGGCGGCGACTCCGGGGCTGGGGAGGAGCCCAGGCCGAGCCCGGGAGCGGCGGGGCGCACGGGAGTCTCTCGAACAGAGGGGGCGGTCGGGCCCGAGGGCTGCGGGGTGGTACTGGCGGAGCGGCTCTGCCCCGAGACCCCCTTAACGGCCGGGAGCGGCGGCAGCAGCAGGAGGATCCCGAGCCTCAGCGTCACTGCCGCCATCCGAGCCCAGCTCGCTCGCGCCAGCGCCTCGGTAACCAAGGAGACGCCGCGGGGCATCATGGGAGAGGCCAAGCTACCGCCCCGGGGCATCACGGGAAAAAGGCCAAGCCCCAGTCCCGGGGCATTATGGGATGGGTTCGGTCCCTGTCATGGCGGAGGTCGCGGGGAGCAGGGCCCCCAGTGTCAGACCAGTGTTTGTCTCCGGACTGGAAGAAGGGAGGGTGAGATGGGGTCAGGCTGTCCATATCTTATCATTTATTATTTGTGTTGCTGTAGGAGCTAGAAGCCCTTGCCCTGGACCAGGACCCCATTGTGCTAGGTGCTGTACACCTCCGAGCAGCAACATGCTCCTGGCCCCACCTAGGTGCACAGGCCCAGAAATTCTGTAGTCTCTGTTGAGTCCTGCAGTTCACACCCAGGCTAAATTCCCACTGACTTCAGCGTGGATGGGTAGATTTGGGCATATTGTACTCTGAGGTTTTGTTTACCAGCGATATTAGCATTTCTCACCATTGCAGCTCCAACGATGGTAATAGCTGTAATGGGCTCTCCAGTGTAGACTAGCCACTGGTATTTTAATCACCTTATCATGTATTCTACTTAGAGCGGGTCTACAGGACACATTAGTTAAAAAGGTGGTGACCCATTGACACTAGCACTCCCATCACTGCTACCACCAACAGGCCTATATCAGTGGTAGGGCAACTAGGGAAGGTCTTAGAACATAAGAACAACCAGACTGGGTCAGACCAAAGGTCCATCTAGCCCAGTATCCTGTTTTCTGACAGCGGCCAATGCCAGGTGCCCCAGAGGGAATGAACAGAAGAGGTAATCATCAAGTGATCCATCCCCTGTCGCCTGTTCCCAGCTTCTGGCAAACAGAGACTAGGGCCACCTGCCAATCCTGGCTAATAGCCATTGATGAACCTATCCTCCATGAATTTATCTAGTTCTTTTTTGAACTCTGTTATAGTCTTGGCCTTCACAACATCCTCTGGCAAAGAATTCCACAGACTGTGCATTGTGTGAAAAAATACTTCCTTTTGTTTGTTTTAAACCTGCTGCCTATTAATTTCATTTGGTGACCCCTAGTTCTTGTGTTATGAGAAGGAGTAAATAACACTTCCTTATTTACTTTCTTCACACCAGTCATGATTTTATAGACCTCAATCATATCCCCCCTTATTCGTCGCTTTTCCAAGCTGAAAAGTCCCAGTCTTATTAATCTCTCCTCATACGGAAGCCATTCCATACCCCTAATCATTTTTGTTGCCCTTTTCTGGACCTTTTCCAAGTCCAATATATCTTTTTTGAGATGGGGGTGATCACATCTGCACACAGTATTCAAGATGTGGGCTTACCATGAATTAATATAGAGGCAATCTAACATTTTCTGTCTTACTATCTATCCCTTTCTTAATGATTCCCAATAAGAAAATTGCTAGGGTAAACATAACTTCAGTATTTATGCAAAACTCCAGTGACTTCAATGGAGAACAACATACAAAATGAGGGTACAATTTGGCCCTAAATTTGATCAAATCTCTTGATTCATAAATTGATGCAACTATTTGATGCTATCTTGAACTAAGTAATACTGAATAACTACTAAATAAACACTTAATGCATTATTGCAATTGTATTTTTAAAACTATAATTAAATATCCCCTTTTTCTTAGGAAGAACTCTAGGGCTTTTGGGACACTTTAATTGAATGTTTGTAATTAATTTTAACTTCACCACATCTCTGAGATATACAAGCATTATACCCATTTTATAGCTGGGGAAACTGAGGCAAACTGGTTAATGGCTTACTCAAGCCACAAAGTTAGTTGCATAGGTCAGGAATTGTTCCAGACCTGTGTCCTGACCTATAGAAAACATTACTTTCCGAATTAAAGGGCCATTAGTGACTATAGGCACATGATCAGTGCACATCAGCCACTCTCAAGTTTATTGGGGTAGCTATACAACAAAGCTCCTGCAAAAAGGTTCTCACTCCTGTGCATGAGTCATTAGTGGCCACTGTTCCTAATCCCCTATGGTGTGCTGCATAACTGAGGTTAGGCTGCAGGATATTTTGAAAGGTCTGAAGCTTCCTCTTACTCTGTTTTGTCATAATCTGAAGATGAATGTTTTCGCAACAATTATTTTCTGCTTGTGACTTGACCCTGCATCATTATACAGGGATTTCTTCTTTTTCTGATCAAGTTCATTCCTGTTACAGTAGAACTTAGAGAAACAAACACCAGAGTTACGAACTGACCAGTCAACCACACACCTCATTTTGAACTGGAAGTATGCAATCGGGCAGCAGAGACAAAACAAAAAACAAAAAAAATACTGTACAGCACAGTACTTTGTTGAATGTAAACTACTAAAAACAGGGAAAGGTCAAAAAAATTTTTTTAAAAAGGTAAGGAAACTTTCTGTGCTTGTTTCATTTAAATAAAGATGGTTAAAAGCAGCATTTTTTTCCTGCATAGTAAAGTTTTAAAGCTGTATTAAGTCAATACTCAATTGTAAACTTTTGAAAGAACAACCATAATGCTTTGTTCGGGGTTATGAACATTTCACAGTTACAAACATTCCCGAGGTGTTTCGCAGTGTTTCTCGAATGTGGCCACCAGGGGCTTTTCTTGTGGTCACAGCCTCCTGGTGGCCACATTCGAAACCCCTCCTGTTTCTCCTGGGTGCACTGCACTGGTATTTGGTTGCTGGGGCCACCAACAAGGGTTGGGCCCTGCCCCCATCTGGAGTCAGCTGGGGATAGGGTGACCAGACAGCAAACGTGAAAAATCGGGACGGGGGTGGGGGGTAATAGGAGTCTATATAAGAAAAAGACCCAAAAATCGGGACTGTCCCTATAAAATTGGGACATCTGGTCACCCTAGCTGGGGAACAATGCAGTAGGTGCAGGGAGCTGGTGAGTTCCCTGCTTTCCCAGGGGTGGTGGGGCTCAGGCTTTGGGCTTCACTGCTGGGGTGGTGGGGCAGCAAACTCTGGTTCCAGGGCTTTGGGCTCCAGCTCTGGGCTCTGGCTGCACGACTGCAGACCCCACGCTCCAGCCACTCAGCTTCGGGCTCTGTCCCTGGGCACTGTCCTCTGGCCATGGGGCTTCAGACTCTGGTCGCAGGGCTTCAGGCTCCAGTCCCCTGCTGCTTCCCCCAGCCAACCACCCCCATCTCCCCTGGCCCCCACTGCCTCCCCTGACCCTCCATCCAGCTTAATTTGTCCCCAGGTTTGCCAGGGCAGAGTAAGTCTGCTATGAAAAGTGACACTTGTATGTTTGTTAATATCACTTTTCACAACAGATTTACTAGCTAGCAATGAATAAATTATAATGATTTGGACGTGTTTGTGTGTGTATTTATTTAGTTTTCCTAAAACTAATTCAACATTTTAGGAGAAAGTACAAGAGCAGCCACCAGCAAGAGTTGGTGGCCCCACACTGAGGCCACCAAAAAAAATTGTTCTGTGAACCCCTTGCTATCTTTACGACCACCAGAGGGCACACTGAATTTTGTAAATAGCACATCAGAATCCTTACAGTGCCATTAACAATATCTGAATAACATAACTTCCAGTTGTAACTTTTGTGTGCAAATTCTTAAATTTTGGAGAGGTTTCAGCTGTCATACTGGAGACTGAAATATTTCCATAGACTAGGTACAGCATGGGCGGCGGCAGTGCCAACTTCTTCACGTTGTCCTTAGTCGACATGCTTCACACCTGATCTGGACAGACCACATGTAAAGTCCCTATGGTCTGCTGAGACTGCCAGCAAGAGGACTAATTAGTGCCAATTATGTTTGAATTTTGTTAGGCTAACAACTGTCTGCCTGTAACTGTATCAAGACCACAAAATGAATGGTTATCTATTTTAAAAAACAGCCCTCCATTGGTAACAACTGTCAGTCACTACTGATTTAGGCTGGATTTGAATTTACTTCTTATGTGACCGTTTCCTTGAGTCATCCTGCTCCCTAGAAATTCATTATTCTGTTAAGGACACGGTCTCTTCAATGCACTGCACTCTACCTGAAACCCCAGAGCAGCTTACTTGCTACCACTGTATCACTTGGTTAGCCCTTTAATACAGTGTTCTGTTAAAATGTGTATAAACCTACTTTATTTCCTTCTATAAGCAGAGGGAGGAAAGCTGATAGACACTGACATTTTGGGTTTTTTTGCTACTTTTATCGTTCTGGGTTTTTCTGAGTTTGATGCAATTGGTAACAAGTCTCTGCATTTCCTTTAAATGAGGTCTAAGGAAAAATCATGGTTTTTTTTATGCTTAGTCTTCACATTTGGGAAAGAAGATCCACCATGACTTAAGATATGGTGCTACTTTGGAAAGTGACTGTAAAAATGACATTGGGGGACACCATCCTTTTTATCTCTCAGTGATTCTATATTGCATGTGCTCATTTTACAATCGCTTTCTAATGGCAGCTTTCTAAGTCAGCTTTGGATCTGAATTAAATCTATGGTTTTGTTGTTTCCCTCCACCCCCTTTTTGTGTGTATAATAGTTGTGTAGGCTGAAATCTGCCCTCCTTCTTCTTTTAAGACAATGTGGTTGCACAGGTGATCTTCACTGATACCAATGCACTTCCACCAATTAGATTTACATATGTCTAATGCATTGGCACTTAGTGAACAAATCTGATGATGCACAAAGAGAAATGGAATCCAACTAACTCTCCCGTAGCTGTGTTGACTCTGCAGAGTTAACCTGAGCAAAAAGCAATCACAGCCTGGGTGAAATCCTGGCC